GCTCCCGGGGCCCAGGGCCTCCGAGCATCTGTCTCCTTCAACTGCTGCATCACGGAAGGTGAAACTTCACATCGGATCTTTTTTTCCTTCCTCCAACACACATGTACAGCATGGTTTTAACACGGTAACCGACAGATATCTAAAGCACATTGTGATCTGTTCTGCAGCACTAAGCTAAATTTGGATGTTTGGATTGTTATGTTGTATTACTATTTACACAACTGAAAAAGCATGGCTCGTGGCAACAGCAAATGGTTGACCACTACATGACCACCATGTATGGTGCATGGAAGAAGCCAAAACCAAAGCTCGAGGAAAGAGAATTTAAAAAAAGAGGAGTAGAATAAGTATGTTTTCAGACAGCATGCTCACAAAGAAGACATTTTTTGGACATGCAGCCAACCACAACCTCTGGATGCCTGTATTGTTTTCAGAACCTGAGACTTTTATGCTGCATCTGCGGGTCCGAATAAAGAAAAACAGACTTTGTTCGACTGTTTCACCGTGATGTGTCAAATGCTGTTTGAGATGTAGGAGATGATTTTATCCATTCTGTCAAATGTTGGCATGATCACAATCAACAAAAACTGCAAACAAATGTGCAAACAAACACCGCAGACATCTCAGATTACATTCTACGGCCAGAAGAGAAGGCACGAAAGCCCATTTTCTACGACAAATTAATCCTTTTCTTCTTAGGTGAGAGTGAAAACTTTTGAAAACCATTTACTTTCAGTCCCAGACACACAGCTTACTTTTCCTAAATGGAACAAATTGATGAGCAGCCTCATCCACCTCCTCCCCCCCTCCGCCCGGCTCAGAGAGACTGACCGGCCTTATCGGACCTTAAGTAAATGAACAGGCAGCGACACAACTCCGGTAAACTCTGAACCTTATCAGAGAGAGCCAGCTGAGCCGCCTGTATTCACACCGCAAGACTTCCATAACTGCCTAAAACCAGAAGAAGAGGGGGAGTCTGCATGAAATAAAGCGATAGGAAGAGTATTTTAACTTATCGTATGAGGCTCCTCATACCTACTTAAGTAGCTAAAGTAGTTCAGAAAAATTGGATCATCAAAAAGATCACTGGGTTTATTGTTAACAGACCTATTCAAAGTGACCAGATCTGGGTACTGGTTGAGCGGAGGACTGAGCCATTAGTACCACAAAAGATTTTAAAAAATGATTCCACTGGTGGCTTTGTTTGAATTTTAGAAAACTTGGTCGAAAGAAGATTAGAAAAAGGAAACTACAGCTTTTTTTTTGGGATGCACTCTGAGCTCTCTTGAATGTTATCCAGTGAAAATGAGAATAATCAGTTGGGTTAAACCTCAGACAAAACGGCGCTCTACGGGTTGATTCTCTCTGTATCCGGGAATTGATATCAAAGCATCCTCAGGAAAAGACACTGAACCCTGAGTTTCTCCTGAATCACAGAAGTGTGTGTGAGCGTTGTGAAAGGCACCGTACAGACTAAGATGTGCTGTATAAGATGGACAGTTTCATATCTATGCAAACTTTTGTGTTACAAAATGTGTGCAGGTATGGAAAAGTTTAGATGTTTATCATTTATGGCTGCAAAATGCACTCCAAAAACAGGTCTGTAGTGTGTTCACTGAGTCAAAATGGGAGTTTTGTTCCCCTGCTTTTTCCTTTTTCAGACTTACTTTGAAATTCAACTAAAATAATCAATACAACACAAAGTGATCAATGTCAGTTCAATTTGTATTTGTTGGTCTTCATAATAAAGAATCAGATATATTGGAAAGATTAGGAGTTCAAAGTTCGGTAAACAGATTCTGAAGAGCTCCAAATTTTGTTAATATTTTCCTTGAGATACTTTCAGAGATGTTCACTGCAGACAGCAAAAGTCTCCCTTTGCTTCTTTTATGCTTTTATTTATAATGGTGTCTGTCATTTTGGAGCTTCAGCTAATAAGGATGCCAGGGAGTACCTCAGAGAAATATTTGGATTATCATCCTCATCAGAGTCAAAACATCTTTGTGTTTACTACGAACGAGTAAATGAATGTGTTGATAAGACGTGGGGGATCGTAGGGATTATCTGAATTAAGCAGACAGCAGCCTGAACGCATGGGCTCAGTTTTGAGCTCTGATTTAATCGTGAGGCGTTTGTCATTTTGACCGCCCACTATAAACTGATGAACGCTCTTAAAGTGGATCAAATGAAAACATCTGGTGACGCCGCGTGTTGTTCCTTCATGGGTAAATGGCTTGAAAGGCAGATTCTGCCCGCCGCCCACAAACGCCCCGAAAAAATGTTAGAAACGAGATGCAAACTGAGGAGTTGAGGAAGTAGGGTGTTCTGGTGCTGTGTCTGTGTCCCCAGATTTCACCGAATTTGCTCAGAAAATCCAGGTTAAATATCGTGTTTAAATAAGATTGTGAGACAGGGTGCAGTCTGAGAAGTTTCAGCTGCAATGTCAACCTCAGAATCACAAAACGAAAAGCTCGACGGTACTTTGTTTCTTTGTGTATTGGCTCTACTAAATTTAAGAGGTGGACTCAGTTTGTGGACTTGGATTTTCGATGACTGGATTATACAGTTATCCGGTGCCCCTAGGTCAGTTTGTGGTTCTGCTTTTCTGTGTCAGTGATGTCTACACAACAGGAGTTTCTGCTCCATCAAACAGAGATATCTCTATCCACAATAACAAAAAAGAGAATCAGAGTATTCTCCTTTTCTCTGGAGGCAATTAGCATTTAAACGTTATTATCATGACTGTCCAGGGTGACCCCTCCTCTGGGCCATTGACCACTGGGATAGGCTCCAGTTCTCCCCGTGACCCCATTAGGGAATAAGCGGTAACGATAATGGATGGATGGATGGATGAATGTTATTATCATCCCTATTTAAGTCATAATCAGTGTGTTCTTTCTCTGGGTCGAAGGTCGTCATTTTGCTGGTCAGTCGGGACCACTTTCTAGTGTTGAGATGCTAAGCGGTCACTTCATTTGCTGCGTTTGAATGGTCGTGCCTCTCAAAAGCAAACGGAGTCAACCCCGTTGTGACCTGCAGTCAAACGAATTCACACTCAAGTAATCATGCAAAAATTTATTATACCAGCAAAATGCAGCCTAGGCCATAAAGGCTGAGCCATGTGTTGCCCGTGACGACAAAAAAAAATATTCAGAAACTCTTATTAGTGCATATGTTGAAGAATAAACTAGAAGTATTTAAGACAGAAACAAAACATTAAAATAAGATTTAAAGAAACTGTTTTATCCTTTACCATCACAACGTGATATGGGCCAATAATTAAAGAAAAAAAAAAACTACCTGTCTTTATATGTATCCACAGGAATAAGTAAGAACGGCCCGATAAAACAAAACCAGCCCTGTTTTTGAAGAATCGTGACGGGTTAATCTCAACCTCCTCCCCTCTGTGGGTTTTTACACTGATGGAGATAATGAAGCAGAAACGGAGAGTCTCCTCTTATCACTGAACCAAACAGCTCTCCTTCCCTTATGATGTCTGCTGCTTCTGGGTCATTTCATTCAGTTTGGACCCCTTTTATGCAGAAAGTGATTATTCCAGTGTGTGGTTTGCCACTCTAGGGCTAATGTAATAATATGGTGGTGGAACTTGGCAAAAAAAAGAGGCAAAGAGGCAAACATGTAATGCCCCTGAATATAAATAGTTTGATGTTTTGAATCTATTTTTTTTTAAAGATCCCCATTAGTTGTCTCCAGTGTAGATGGTAAAAAGTGCCCTTAAGCCAAAAACCAGACAAATACAGACGTGGTGGTGTTCTCCGCATTTATTTGTCTTTCTTTGTTGCTTTCTCTGTGAGGAGCATCAATATCTTACAGGTCGAGAACATCAGTTTGGTTATTTACAAGATAAAATAAACATCGTACAACTCACAATGTCTGCTTGTGTTCGGAGCGCTGGAGGAGGAAGAGGAGGAGGAGGAGGAGGTGTGGGAGAGAAAACGACTACGATCATTTTACAGAGTGGGGCCCTGTGGCGCGATGGCAGAGAGGACAGGGGTTTTTCTCCGGGAGGGTGACACAACAATCCAATAAATAACACGGACGCACATCGCCGGCGTCTCCGTCAGTAACCCATCCATTCCTTGTAACTTTCAACACCCAAAAGAGGAAGGGAAAAGAAAGAAAAAGCAACAGCAGTGGATTTATTTAGAGCTAACACGATCGCGTGTCCCCCATTGAGGTGGGGCCAACAGTAGGTTTGCTTTAACGTCTTCAACGGTGGAACGCATTTTTAATGCCAAATTGTTTAATTAGAAGGTAAAACTTTATAAAGAATCAGTTTTGTAGTCTACTAGTTGAATAAAGAGAGCCACAGAATGAGAATTGACTTTGAATAACTCAACTTCTGAGGGTTTTATTGCCCTTTCAAGAAGTTTCTCTGCTTACGAGGGGGGAAAAAACAAGTTTATTCACATCACATTTAGATGTGATGTGTGACCTGCTGCCCCACCATTCAGGATCAGGCTGGACAGTGAACCCGAAGGGATTCGGTGTCGGTGGTGGGAAATGAACTGGCTGATGAAGACTCCCGGTCTGGGGGACGCACGGAAATAACCCGGAGCGCCGCCGGGAAGAAACGGCAATTTCTCCCGAGCAATTTCTGTCTGAGTGTCCTCATTTAATCAGAGCTGCTGTGCTGCTTGTTGGTGTGAAGCGGAAAACCGAGATAGGGCTCAATCATGTTTTGTTTTCGCCCCTTAGCTGAGACGCACGCGCCGAAAACTCCCTTTTTTTTAAAAAAAAAGTTGCTGCAGCTTCTGACTGCAATCATCCGGCTGAAATGGTGTGACTGAAACGAATTCGTAAGAAAAAGAAACACGGAAGAGTTTCATTTGCTGCGGCTTTCTATTTTAAGGAACGGAAAACAGCTGAAAAAAACTGAAATAAGAGGGCTGTTTGATGAGCTTTTAGTTGGAAGCGAGGGGGGGGTGAAGGATGGGGGTTTGTGCGTATCAACTCAAGTGCAACACAATACAACGCTGGGGAGGAGATTTGGGGGTTGAGACAGAAGACGGATCTCAGAGTCGTAAAGAAAAAAACCAGGAGGCTGACCCTTTAAAAGATGGAAGCTGCTCACATTCCTGCCATCGTACCAGAGAGAAAGAAAAGACTATGAAAGTGAACTTAAATGTGGGTTGAAAGATTCTTGTTTACTTCGCTGACAAGGGGTGGAATCTAGTTGTCTGAAGGAGGCGACGGTCTTAGATGGGCAGCTGGAAGGTGATGTCCACTTGAGCTTCTTTAGCCAATGAGACAATTTCAGAAAGCTTTACAACCTGTGAACAAACAGAAGGAGTCGATCTTTCTTTAGAAGCCTCCACGACTATTAGAGAGTTTAAAATATCAGAGATGACCAGCCCTAAAACCCTCTGAACAGTTAGAATACAAAAAGCTGTTTTATTTCTCCGGTTGATGCTTGTTGACATTGACAGCAGTTAAAACATTATTTATTTTACATTTTTCAAATTTAGGCAGTAAATTCTCTCTTCTCTGCCGCCTTAAAAATGAATGATGTTTGTGTTTGTGCGTGTACCATTTTGGCCGCCTCGTCCAGGTCGTCGCAGGCGAGGATTTTGAGTGGGCTGGCAGCTATCAGAGCTTTGGCATCGTCCACTCTCGTCCCTGAAGGTAAACACAGGACAAAAAAGATCCATCAGCTGAGGCCAGGTCAACAGCTGGGGAGGCAGTATGACTTACTATGGTTGTGTCTTTTTTGTTTGTTAGACCTGAAGACGTTCAATACAAATCAAATCTCCCAATTTTTTCCCTTTTTATTTCCCTCTTCCATTAGACTACTTGTGCTAAAGATAAACAAATTCTAAAAGTATTTTCAGAAAGTCTAAGAATTGAGATCTTTTAGATAAGATGGAACATTTCCCACTATGTGTAAACATGCAAGTCAGACACAAACTGAGAAAACGTTTACAGAAAAAGACCAAAGACCTGAAATATGAGGGATTTGAGCTCTGGGTGCTGGCAGAAATATCAATGATGAAATGATTGTTGTTGTTAAGAGCAGAAGACAAAAAAAAGGGTTGGTTTGTCTCAGTGCGGTGACGCAGGCAGAATGATTTGGTGGCCAAATGTTATTCTGTATATATTAAGTGGAAAACGTGTCGTGGAGTTTGCACTGATTCCTCTGGAGACGCAACACTTCCGCAGTTGAAACAAATGTGAAACGAGAGAAGAAGACGTGAGTGCGGCAGACAACAAGAGGTGACACTGTGTTGGCTCCAAAATAGACAACAGGAGGAGACAATGCCGCCCTTGGGGAAAACTGAGAATTGTCAGGTCTGTTTATGCTCCAAATACACACGGCAGCGTTTCGGTACGCTTTCAAATGTCACTCCTGACACTGTTAAATTAATAAAGACGAACCGACGGGGAAATTTCCACCAGCGAGGGAGTCCTCTTCTGGGAAGAAGAGCCACGTGCAAAAGCAGAGGATCAGGGGGGGGGCTCAAATACATACGCATATCACAGAAATGTCACAATAAACCACAGCTCACTGCCTTTTCCCCAGAAGCCAAACACTGAAGGAGGATGAATAAAACCAGGAGACGGAAGCCACCTCCTGCTGGTGCCTGTCTGCTTCTGGTTGATCCAGAGCAGGAAAAGTTTGCAGCTTAGGTTTCAGCCTGATTTTGACCAAAATCTCCAAAGGGAATGCTCCCAAAAGAACAAAAAGAAACCACAACAAAAAGCTGAACTTTTCATATCAGCACATCAACTTAAACTAAACCGCTTTTATGTGTGTTTTGGATGGTTCAGACTTTGTGTCATCATGAGGATAGGAGTATCCAGTTCATTATACAATAATAACAGGAAATACTAATAGAAGCACTGATGCTGAAAGTTTAATCTTGCAAAGGATACGACAGAAATTATTCTATTAGAGCAGAGTGACTGCAGCAATCCGGTGAAGCTTTGGTTTAAAAAACGTCAAATGTGTAAATGAGGGCGGCCTTTTTAGGATATTTAAAGTAATTTTCAAATAAATTAAAAAATGTTTTGGAAGACATGCTATGCTTTAATGTTGTTTGACATTTCTATGACGTTTTTTAGCCTTATTTCAAGTTATATGTATAGAAATTAAGATTTTTCAGTTCTCTTTAGTGTCATGAGGAATTATTATTATTATTATTTTTCTTCAGGGTGACAGGAAAGGTGGATAAAGAACAGGTGCCTCCATCCTGATCATTTGAATGTTTCTCCACTAGAATCCCAAAGTTGAAAGTCCCGAAGTCGTAGGCTGGAAAGCTTTTTATCTGTTGGACGTGCTCGGAAAAACTTCAAATGCACTCCTGAACGGACGCCCAAACGGTAATGAAGTTGCTCTTTTAGTCTGTGCAAGTAATCCTGGCAGCGCCTACTTGCGGTCTCCTCCTTACGATAATTACCCACGCCTGGTGACAATAGAGGGGGATGAGAATGCAGCTCAGCAGATGGAAAGCGTTGCCTTCAGGCTCCGCTCGCTTTTCGCCACGACGCCCACAAAACTGCTGATGCTGCGCCAACCCACCAGCCCAGCTCTGCTCACACTTAGCCCAAATTAATCTGAAAGTTCCCTTAATTCAAGGTAACTTTTTTTTTCCTTCTGGTACAGTGCTGGTTTTTCTGTTTCTCGTACCTTGTAATCTTACTACGATGGGGATCTTGAGGTCCAGGTCTCTCACGGCCATGATGATGCCCTGCGCGATGACATCACACCTCATGATGCCTCCGAAAATGTTGACCAGGATGGCTTGAACCTGACGACATAAAGGACAGTTGAAAAAATAGTTACCAGCGATGAGTTTTATGGATTTAGGTATTTACAGTTTGTGTAGACTAAAAAAACTACTAAATCTAGAACTAAAAGTCTAAGAGTTCAAACACAAGTGAAAAAGAATAAAAAGCTGTATTTAAAAAGGTTCAATTCATTTGAGGTCTTACCTTCCTGTCTGAGGTGATGAGCTTGAAGGCTTCGGTCACCTGGTGAGCTGTGGCTCCGCCTCCGACGTCCAGAAAGTTGGCCGGTGTGCCACCGTGGAGCTTGATGATGTCCATAGTGGCCATGGCCAGACCGGCTCCGTTTACTAGAGACAGACAGCCTGGTAAATATAATGCGGCTGAAGGTTTGTTTGCCTTTGACCTGTTGTAACACGACTGTTTTTGGAAAAGGAAAACAAACCCAAACAGCCTGTTGTACAGATTTCTTTTCTTTTTGGGCTGATTTTAAAAGTCAAATACGCGGAAGACACCCTATTTCGCATCAGTTCTGCTTTAAGGGCGAACTGTTAACAGTTATAACCCAACCAGAATAAGAAAAAGACTGAGATGATGATGCTGACCCAGACAGCCAATGGTTCCGTCCAGGCCGATGTAGTTGAGGTCAGCCTTGGCCGCCTGCCGGTCCCGGGGGTCCTCCTGAGTCCAGTCCCGCATGGCGAACACCTTCTCCTGGCGATACGCCGCGTTGGAGTCGAAGTTGATCTTGGCATCCATGCACATCACTGGTGACAAGCAGAATTGAGGAATTTTGGCATTAGAGGAGGACCTACTCACACATAAATCACCTGTGGAGAGTTTTTATACACCAGTAAGAGTTTCAATTCTTATTACAGAACGTCTTACAACAAACCCATGACACAGAAGTTCAAACTTTTTAGATTTTTTAGTGGATACGGACTCCGTTGAGGTGGGAATGATAATCAGGTCAAAACAGAAGTGAGCACATTAGTCGTGTGACCCAATATTGAGAGTGGGTTGATTTAGATAGGAGTGGGAAATAAATTAAACCTTTTTCATGCAACTTCATGGCTACAGAGGTTTAAAAGCATAACCAATGGCATATTAGCATAAGGTGGCAAAGGAGAAATGTGGCACCGAGTTTTCACCGTTAGCTTCCCTACACCCACCTGTGCAGCTGGATGGAGACTATCAGTAAAAAGTTTTACTCAGCCAACTTTCCTTCAGCTCCCACTGACGGAAAGTAACTACGGACATGCATTAAAGCACTTTACCATCGTTTTAGCAAATACTTTCCTTTCCTTCCATTAGTCAGCCCTCAATATTTTTCAATCCTCAAACCACTTTAGTCAGGAAATCTCAACACTGTGAAAAAGTAATATGAAGCTAAAATAAATAATAATAAATAAGCGCAACAGAAATACGTAAGAATAAAAATCAAAAATGCCAGAGACCTAATCCTCGACAGTTTCTTGCAAAATTAAAAAAAAAAAAAAGTTTTAATCACGTTTCTGCCGCATTCCTGTTCAAAATGAGCACACGTTTCCTTCATTCATGGTTGAAATGACTCGATTCTTAAGGAATTAGACAACAGTGATGAGTAAAAAGTGATTTGATAAAGGCGAGATGGGCCTTTTTTATTCTTTCTGAAGCTATCTTGTAATTGAAGAGTGAAGCTGTCGTCGAAAATCCACAATATTCTGAGTTTTAAACTACTGTTTTTTCCCTGTCTACAATGGAAACGATTGATCTCCATGTTCCAATTTCTGACTGACCAAAACCAGGTTCTTCGACCTTTAGCTGTGACAGTAAAGGGCAAGATAAATACACGAAAAATGTTTTAAAGAAGAGCGTGCACACGTGCGTGCTTGATATTTACCCATGCCGGAGGAGTCCTCCACCATCGGGTTGATCTCAAGCATTGACGCGTCGTATTTGAGGAACAGGTTGTAGAGTTTTATCATGTTTTCCGCCGCCTCGTTCACCAGCGCTGGCGGGAATCCCATTTTCTGAGCAACCTGCAGCAGCACAAAGCGTGACGTCACACTTTGGAACAGAAAGCCCGGCTTCTCCTCATCTTATGTCAAAACACTGAACATGTAAGTTTGTGGATAGAAGCATTCAGTGGGGATTAAAGCAAAAATAACCACAAAAAAATAGTACAGGAGCAAAGAAATTTAGTTTGATTTTGTCCCAAAACTAAGTGTGAAATATCCTGCTCGCTTTAATTTCAGTTTTCATAGCGGATTTTGTTTCTGTTTTGATTTTCTGTTCGAAAAACCTCATGTCAAAACATGGAAATGCAGAAAAAGTTGTGAAAAGTCCAAATCAAGTGTACCTGAGAAGCTGTAAAGGTCAGGGGTGGCTGTACACCGGACCGGCTGACTCATAAGACTTCAGAATACATAACACACAACATTTCAGAGTCACTGGAGAACGTGCACTAATATCTGAATGCTTGGAGATGGTCAAAATGAGCCATTTGCTTTCAGTTACGAGAATATGAACCAATTTCAAGTCACTGAAGTGTGTCCAAAAAACTAAATGACTGACTTCATAACACATTTAAATACCACATAAAATGAAGGAATTCTCTTTTTCATGATTTGAATGGCTTCAAGGCTGAAAACGTTGAGGTTAAAATCTTAATTAACCTTTTGATTAATTAATCAAAAGGTTACCACAACATGAATTGTTGTGATACAGCAAGCTCATTTTAAATTAAGCTTATAGATAAAGTAATATTAACTATAATTTAACAAATTCAATAATTTAAAGCTAACAGATAACAGATCATGTAACTCCAGACTTTGGACTCTTTAGCTGCTTAATGCTTCACTGAGTTCAGCAGAGAGCCTCTAACAGCAGGTCTGCTTTAAAAATGCACACCTCTAGTTCTTTGGAGCTTCATCTGCCTCACATCATCTGTCAAAATGATCAGTATCCACTTTTAAACAGTCTGCAAGGGTCATATTAAAGAAAGTTTATATAAAAGGGGGTCACATCCAGTTACATCAGGGTAACTGAAGGAGCTCCTCAGGGGTCAAACTTGGGACTTCTCCCATTCGTGTTAAGTATAGACAATCATGGCCCAAGCATCCTTAATATGAATTCTTATGCCGATGATAAAGTGATATGCCCTCACACCTTACCAGGATCTCCATCAGTTATGACAAACTCTCTTAATGCTAAGAGCAGGATAACAGAGGTGAGTATTTTCATATCCGATGAGCCAAAAACTGCGGTTGTAAAAAAGATTTTAACAGTAAAGAAGCATGAAGTTGAGTTCTCAACCTCTTATGGAACAAATCGACCATAAACATGTTCAGAATATACTTTCTTTTTAGCCGTTTGGACATTGTAGAGACTGCAGAGATAACAGCACAAAACACCCTTTGATTTCTCCAGAAGCGCAAACCACAAAAAAGGGGACAACTCTGGCTCGTTCTGTGACTTATTACGTCAAATATTGATTGTACCTTGACAGCCTGCTCCATCTTAATGCCCTCCACAATGTCGATGGGCTCCTTCACAATGGCGTCTGGATTTTCTGCGGCCACATCTTCGATGTTTACGCCCCCCTGCGAGCTGCCAATCAGCACCGGGCCCTGTGAGACACAGGCGGAAGAGATGGAGAGTCAAATAATCAGAGTTAATTCACTAGTTCAGTCCCATTTACAAAATAACTCAGTGGGAAGAGCATTATTTCAATTTGACCTACTTTAGTCGGTGATTTTCTGAGTCATTCTCACCTTTTTCCTATTTTCAATAATCATAGCTAAAATTGCCTCCTACTTTTGACTAAACTGAAGCTCTTTCCCCAGTTTAAATGAGCCCATGTCCTTGTTTAAAACTAATCAGAGTGCTTTCTTTCAAAAGATTTCAATCAGCTCAGCTTGAAAACTATTCTAATTCAAGAACAGTGGCACCGTTAAATGTTTTGAAACTACCCCTAAATGTAGCGTTTCAAAGGTCCCACATATTACAGAAACTAACAAACTGGTTGTTTGAGTTTCACCAAAAAGCAACTTTATCTTTGGTTTTAGCTCCCCAAACCTTAGCAACAAACCTCTTTCTTTTGACATTTGCTCTTTCTGGAGATGTTGAAGTCCTATCAAAATGTTTGGAGCGCCTAACATCTGCATAGAGCTGCACGTCTTTGTCAGTAATGTCTGGGTTTAGTTACAAATTTCAAACAAGTGAGGTCACGTGTTTCAAAATGTTGATGCTGACAAGCAGAGCAGAGAAAACTAAGTAAAATATAGCAGCTCTATGCCAAACTGTACCCAAGTGATATGTTCAAGGTCATTTAATCCAAAGGGAGAATACAGTGTGGACAGTCTTCCTCCAACACACAACTGAATTTAGCTTAAAAAAAAAAAAAGGCTGCACAAATTCAACTGTAACAGTGCTGCCATCTTGTGGTCAAAATGACCTGAGATAACTACAAGTGGCGGTTTCCTAAACCATTTATTATACGGTTTTAATTGATCCTGATTTCCACATTTTTATCATGAAGACAAAAATAAATAAATAAATCATATTTAAAAAATCAGGTATTTTTGTTTTGTTTTTGTTTCTGAGATCTTAAAAAAAATAAAAATAAAAAAAATAAAAAATCTTAGAAACAAGTTGATATCCTTCATTTTCAGCCTGTCACGTGATCGTGTCAGAATTCAGCCGACCCACATCATGTGGCTGTGAATTAGTCCCCTCACCTGAAAGGACCTCTCCATGGTGATGGCAAAGTAGTACTCTCTTCGTGGGTACCGGCGCTCGCAGACAAACACCTGGTTGCAGATCCGACCCGCCTCTCCAGTCTGCTTGGTGTACAGTTTCCGACCAATCATCTGGGAGGAAATGTCCCGGACTTCTTCTGGCCTTGAGACAAAGAGGATAAAGTAAATTACTGAGAGAATTTCTGGGGCTAAATGTGAGACTAAAAACTAAGCATGAAGAAGACTTTTATTATCATAATGATCCACTCATTATGGGACTTTGATTTAATCATGATTAATAAAATACTTATTTTCTAAATGTTCAAGTAAACCGAAAATATACATATCCAACTAAATCATAATGGTTCATTGATAAAGTGTCAAATGCACCAGTTTAAGGAGCAAGAGAACACTTATTGTACTTTTGTCCTTCACATTTTCATTAGCTTAGAAATCGACTTTATTCCAGTTTCAGTCAAACAAACATGTTTGTATGGTGGTTTGATTCATTTTCAAACTTTCTTATCTTTGTTTAGATGTTTCTTTTTGTATTTACACTAAAATGCAACAACACCTTATTAATTTGTGGCTAATGGACACTAAGCAGCTGCTGGGACATCAGCCACCATATGCTGTGGCATTTATAACAGGTTACCATGGTAACCAAAGGCTCTTTATAGCAGCCAGGACTGAAATGTTTCAGGTTCTAAATGTGAAAGTTTGGTTTAAATCAACGAGGAGAAAAAGAAGAGAGAGTTTGGTGTGTGTTTGGGGACGGGAGCCGGGCGCCTTACGAGTAAACGATCCTCACGCCTCCTTTCAGTCCACCCTCAAACGTCCCCTTTCCTCTGCCGCCGGCCAGGACCTGAGCTTTCACCACCAGGTCCTTTGAACCTAAAACAAACAGTTTAGTTAATGAAGGAGGCCCTGCCATATTTAACAGAGGAAACTCTGCTGCCTAGCTCATTTCCTGAGAACCAAACACTGATTATCAGCGTTTAGGTTATTTAACTATTGATCATTTGGGTATTTCGGCTCTTTTTTTTTTGGTCTGTTGCTCTATAAAAGCTGGACTAATGCACTTCAGATCTTAACCCAAACCTCAACAGAGGAAAGCTTTCTAACATCAGCCATGTTAACGCAATGGTCAGATGAGAAATGAATGATAAATCAGGAGGTGTGTTGATTCCAACAGCGGGTGCAGCGTGCACCAAATGTGAACTGACACCACGGAGGCAGGAGGCGGCTATATTTGGCCTGAGTATTCCTGAGTGTGTCTGTGTGCCTTTCTACGCTGCCCAGGCATGGCTTCAGCTATTTAAACCCCACAATGCACACACACACAACCACACACACAGGTCGTAAGAAGTCAGAGTGGTGACCGGGTGTTCAAAGGTGGCCAAAATGGGTCAGTGATAGAAATTTATGTCAGAAGGGTCATTCGCTGAAACTCAACCCCGTCGTAGTGGCTTCTGAAATGTGACGGGGCAGTATCATTCAAATGTTTCCACCTTAATCTGACAAAGAGTTAAGGGTGCATAGGAAAAGAAACGTCTTGTCATCATGAAGCCGACGAAAAGGGCTTTCGGAACTAAAAATAAACAGACTTTCTTTGTACAAAGAAAAGTATCAAGCTTTTTATCAACAATAAAGTACCAGATGTACCAAAAAACATCCGCTTCCATGTCGTAATTATTGGGTGGAAATAGTGACACCTGTTGACGGAATTCTTACCGATCTGTTTGGCCACGGCGTAGGCCTCCTCGGAGGAGCTGGCCACCATGCCGTCCGGCACAGAGATGCCGGCCTCTTTGAGGAGGCCGATGCTCATGTATTCATGCAGGGACAGGTTCCTCTGCTGCTGCTGCAGGTGTGGGGGCTGCGGCTGGGGAACATGGCCTCCAAACAAACCTGTGGAGCCACCAAGAACCTGGAGGAGAAAAAAAAAGGAAATGAATGTCTAATAAGTCATTTGAGCAATTTGGAAAAGTTTTTATGCCCATCATAAAAAAAAATTACATGCATTTGAACTAGATCACAGACATTATTGTGTTGTTCTGTCTGTATAACATATCAAGAAAGGAATATATCTGTGTTGAGTGCCAATTTCACAATATAAATAGATTGAATACCAACTTAATTGTTACACAAAAGGTCAATAAATGCCAGCAAAAGGAGAAGACATGTAAATGCCACTGCTGCACAAATGAAAGCTGAGTGAGGAAATGAAACAAAAAAGGTTCTCAAACAGTGTCAGCTCAGCATCAAACTTCCTCAAAATAGGTCTGTGAAAATCTTGAAAATTCACAGTGAGAAGTTATGATGGTGGCTGGAAAAGCTCCAAAGGGTCAATAAGAGCTCCCAGATATGTCAGCAGCTCAGGGGAAGATGAGATTTCCTTTAGTTGTATATTATTTCCAAGGATGTGTTTAAAGTTTATTAAACAAAAAAGGGTGATTCGAGGATGTTACTTAAAGTTCAAGTTATAAAAACAGCTAAATAACTCAAAATAAAATACATTTGTAGGCATAAAACTTGTTTATTAAAGTAAAATAGTATGTATGCAAAATTTTGCTTCACTGTAGCTCCACATAAAGTGAAATTATGAAATGTTATACAGCTAAAATGGTTTATTATACTACATTACAAGGAGCAAAAAATACGTTGTCCCCACATATCTCCCTCATTACTAATTGAATTGAGTCTACCTTCTGAGTAATGGTCAGCAACTGAAAATGGATGGAGGCACTACCAATTAAAAATGTTTTATATTTCAGACGTTTTCCAGCATTTATAACTAATTAGTACACTCTTTGAGTATTTTAAAAACCTATTCTGTGTGTCTGATGCTTTACAAGACCTCTGGCACAGTTTCCAAAGATGTTTGTGTTTATTACCATCTTCAACTAGCCAATCTAATATATTAACTGATGTGTTACAAACTGATAAACGTTAAAAAATAAGAATTTTTAAATCTATCTTTTCTGAATGAAAAACAGCTGTGTGGTCGTATTGTGACAGAGACATGCAATGAGGATAATATTATGAATAAGGGGAGAGTATTTAGTAAGAATAGATAGTGTGTACCTGCGTTATAATGAGGAATATGAGTGGTTTTAGACGGATAAACAAAATGAATGAGGCTCTATGACAGACTGGTGATCCCTATATGTTGGCAGCTGGGAAAGGCCCCAGCCTTTTAACTGCTGGTATCTACAGTGAAAGCTGTTTATCCTAAGAGAGGCTGAGCGGATTTGTCAAGATAACTTTCCAACAGGACTCAGCGGGACAGATGCTATGGCGCAGAGCCGCGGTTAGCTGCGGCTAATGGAGGTCACTGAACTTCAATGCGCAGAAATTGATACAAAAGTCGAGGTTCGTTACAAGCCACATTAATATGAAACGGAATAAACAGACTATCAAGCCATCCCCTCTGTAACGGCTCGTGGTGCTGCCATAGTGACTGCCATGCTAATTCTATTCTCTCGCTAGTTAGCATGTTAGCCAAAACAACGGAAACTCAATGAAGTTATGCTAATGTCAAATTTGACCCTGTCCGCTTTTAGGGAAACTGCGAACTTTAGCATCAGTGGGGGGCCACGCAAAGCCCCTTATCCAAAAGCCAAAGGCCTTTTTTTACACTTAAGCACAGACTCACCTTGGAAGCAGCACCAATAGTGTTTCTAGCGCCTGATGTTCTCAGGCTAGCCGTCAAACAGCCGCAAATCAGGGACGTCGCCATGTCTCCTATACAGGGGGGGAGTAACGATCGCGCATGCGTGACAATCTTGAAACTCTGCTTCCTCTGTGTTACATTTAATGCTATTGGAAAGTATTTTTAGTTATCTTGAAGCAAACTCTTTGATTAAATGAATAAAGTGATTAGCAAAGAGATTGATGTTTTTTACCAAATGGTTAGTTTAATAGGAAAAACGTGTTATTCTTTTAATCTATTTTACTTGGAAAAAACTATCATGTTTTAGAAATGACGTATTTCAGTATGATTTAGAGCACGGACATTCAAAATAGCAATACCCCATTACTTTGATATTAAGTCAAGAATGTATTGATCAACTTATATATATATATATATTTCAACTTCATTCTCTCTCCAAAGTATACCGCCTTTAGAAGGTGGCCTGCGTTTAAAAGGAGTATTTGAATGCACCACTATTAAGTCTTCAACATATTGTAAATAAAACCTGACATTTAAACCAAATAAATAAAGTTCTTCCAGGGGAAAATCTATACAATTGATCTCTGATATCAAAAGTGTGTTATGTCTAAAGTAATATAATTACATACAATATATGTTATTAATATGAAATAACATAATCAATAACAATATTTCTCAAATCAATTCATGTTCAAATTAGATTATGCATTCCATTTGAGGCTTTATATGGATGGAAGGATATTCTAATATCTTTAAAGAGAAAAAATATTTTTTCTTGAAATCCAAAGCCATCAAATAATGTACCATCAAGATAGAAGATGATCAACTCCTGTATGTTAAAAAAATAGTCCCCGTTCTATTAAAAAAATATTTATTTACAAGATTAAGTACATACAAGCTTATTTACATTGACAATTTTGTTATACAACCATTAACACTACATAGGTATTGAAACAAAAACAACTCAGTAAGTCAGGAACAATTTCAAACATGGCTCTCCAAAGAGCAAAAGACATCCAGTTTGCATGTTCTCTTAGAAATATTTTTTTCTCCTTTCGCTTCATGGCAAAGAGGAGATAAAAATCCCTTTTATTACTTTTCATTTGCACAACGGATGTTTAGCCTAAACACAACCAAAGGTTTAATCAATTGTGTACCACACCACCCAGAAAAGCGGCCGTTTAATGTTTTGGAAAAAATGACTGAAGCATGTGTTTTTGTAGATGTCACACTTTTTTTTCATACATCTGAGAATTCACAAGTTGATGTGACAAAAAGAGACAAAGACAACAGAAAATAAGTCTCACTCTTTAGAACTAAAAATGGAGAGTACTTTCATTTTAAGATGCTTTAGAGAAGTACTCATTTTACTCTCAAAGAAATATGAGTTGGCTTAAACTTTCCTTATTTGATTCGTATCTAATCTTAAAAAAAAAAAAGGCAGTCCATTGTTCAAATAATCTCAGCATAGTAAACTGTCCTCAGGCATTTAGAATAACTTGACCGATAAACGAATCAGTCCCAGGTTATGCCACATTTCACTTGAATGAAGCGGGGTGCTCCGACATTGTCCAGCCGTTAACTCTGAAGAGACACACACACATATTTACACACATATTTATACACACACACACACTCTCATCTTTCAGTCTGAGTCGCTGCTGCTGCTGGAGGAATCTGTTGACATGGCCTCCACATCATCCTCATTCTCTTTGTTGTGACCTGGCGGCTCCAACCCAAAGTCGTTGCCATGGTGAGGAGGCAGCATCCCCACTGAAACGTCCGAGGACTGCCAGGGGTAATGCGGCGTCAGGATGTCTGAGGAGGCGGGACAGAACATAGTTGTATAAAAACATGCATCAGCTCAACTGGAGACTTTTCCCACACTGGGGTCATTTCTATGTGTCCATCCTGACCCATGTACATAATAAATCAGAATGAAATTGCAGGAAAAAACGCTGCACTGTGGGTGGAAATAAATCAATGCAACAAGAAAGAGAATCTATCTATGTGAACATCACGCAAAATATAAAACTAAATCTTATAAATTTGGACTTTTAAACATTTATCATGAAAGTAATAACTTTTCGAAACTCACCTGGTAGCCTTCCGGCTGCCAGAGCGTCGCCTGGCAGATGTCCATTAACTCCATTGGTCGGCAAGTTGGCCATGTGACCTAGCATCCCACTGCGCATTTCCAGATCAGTAGGATAGGGTCTGCGTGGATCGCCTAAGTTCACCAAATTGTGAAGGGTAAGTGGAGTAAAACCCGAACAGTAAACCAGCAGGTGCTTTCATGGGTCAGCGTCATACCTGGCACCCAGTTGAGCGGAGCACACACAGCGTTACTGGCGCTGATCCTGTGAGCGTACTTAATGATTTCTTCAGATGAGATGCTTCCTGCATAAAGCCATAGGACAGTTTTTATAAAAAAAAACAACCATATAAAAAAAACAAAAAACACAGACAACCACAGTGTGTCTTAAAGGTTTGTTAGCTCACCTTTTCTGGCTTTGTCAATGGATTTTAGTTTCTCTTTCGCCTGGTAAACAGCAGTGGCCTTGTGAAAAAAATGAAGAGGGGAAACATCGAGTTAGATGGTTCAAATATCCTGAGATTTGGGTGTTTATTTCAGAATTTATAAAACAACTTGAAAAACAACAGACAAACCACCTTTGAAAGCAACAGCTAAATTTAGCTTATTTTCTGCATTTTGCCTTGCTTTCATCAGTCTTTGTCCAGGTAGCATCCTAAAACTATTTCCAGCAACTCGTACTGACCAGGATGTGCTCGGCCTCCTTCAGCTGTTTCTGCAGCTGCTGGATATCACTGTCTCTCTTCTCCACTTCCTTTTCCAGCAGCTGCATCTCATGGTGCACCTTCCCCTGCTGCCGGGCCACCCCCATTAGCTCCTGAAACTCCTTGTCCCTTTGCACAAGCAGCTCCAGGACCTGGAGACCAACGCACACTCGTAAATAAACACCAGAAAACACGAGCAGAATGAGCAGGTACCACCTCCTCATAACTTGTATGGACCTCTATGGCCTATGCAATTAAAGGTTAATCATTTGCATATGTTGAGTGCAAATCCAAGGATGTCTTCTTTGATTTGGTTTTGTTTATTACTCTCCGTAACTTGCTATTGTTGCAAGTATAAGAGATTGTCTCAACAGTCACTGTTAGAAATGTAGGCAAATCCACTCCAAATAAGTACTTTCTGTAAAAAAAAAAAAAAAAAAAAAAAACACACACACAGACATGAATGTGAAATGTGTTACCTGTGTGTCTTCTCCTGGCGTTGGTAGCTTCTGACCTCTGGACAGAGCCAACATCTCAATCAGCTCCCTGAAAAATAAACACACATCAAAGGTGATCATTATTTACAGGCTAAGATTAACACAAACAACAGTTAGACAAGCTGTGGGTATATTGTCCTCGTTTGTAGGTCCTATTTATCATATTACTCGTATACACGTTATGATTCAATTGGCGAAGAGTCACTGAGGCCGTAACTTTTGCTTTAGTAAAAACTAATGGATCGATGGTTGGGAGCTATGTGACTCAGATTGGTTTTGCTGGTTACAACGAGCCAAGAAAACAATAATAAGTGAAAACTGCATCAGCTCATAGAAAAAAATAGCAACTGTGGAAAATATAAACAAGGAGTTTTATTTTACCTGGATAAAACCTCTAGATCATCCAACACAGACAACAACCGCTGCTTCGTTGATTTCTCTGCCGCCGTCGCCATGTTTAGTTCCCGCAAACTTCTGCGCATGACAGGATGTGACGTTAAGAAAGCCTCCTTCTAAATTGCTCTCCAACAGATATGCTACTGTTCTCTATTGGTGATAGTGAGCTACTGCAAGTCCCACGATTGTTACAGCTGATTTCTATCTTTTAGCTTCAACCATTTATGCATATTTGTTCAATTTTACAGTGGAGTGAATGGTTATTTTTCAGATAATGCTGAATATAACTTGAAATACTTTGTGGAGCAGAGCGCCACTTTAGATAAATGTATTCATGGAGTTTATGGAGCTGTCTAACTCACGAATGTACTAGTAGTACATTACACCATATTAAAGAAAACATTTATTAGTTTGTATTCGCTTTTTTAAAGTAAACAAAATCAGGACTGACATGATTAAATTTATCTTCAATGGTGCACATGCAATATATTTCAGAATTTGGAGCCTGAAAACGAAATGAAACGCTTATTAAACATAAACTTAATCAAGTAGAAATATGATCTGTATTAACAGTTAACTGTTCCAAAAGGATACTGAGCATTGAGTCATTCCAAATAAATAAGTCTTGCCTTTTGTCAACACAAAGCTGAGCCTGATATAAACCAGTCCATGGTAAGTTAGTTAGATAGATAGAAACAGTTCTTCGGAAGGGAAACGGTTTAGGGGTTAAGCTATTATTTTGAAAAAATTGCCGGAAGTCAGGAAGTGGCTCCATCCGTTGGCGGAGCTCGCGCGGTCTGTTCTATCACAACAACAGATTATACTTGGCTGGGCTGAAGTGGGACTCCTTCACTTCGGATCCAGTTCTGCATTTCTCGTCTCTCCCCTTTCTCATAGTAGATTTTCTCGGTTGGAATTTCTCTGCATTTACTTCAGGATGGTGAAGGTGTCATTCAACGCGGCTCTCGCCCAGAAAGATGTGAAGAAAGACGCAGAAACTCTGATCCCGGAGGAGGACAGGGTGAGTAGAAAATGGCCAACTGGAATGAGTTCTGAGCTACGTGGAAAAAGCACGCACTTTCTTTTAGCTTGAGTCTAGCAGCCACCGTGGGCATGTGATGCTTCTTTCCCTTTAGTTGAGTTGTTTTCACACGGTTTTCAGAAACGCTTTTAACGTGTTATAACTTTGAAATATTACTTCCATGTCGAGTTTTGCAACGGCAACGTCCTCGTTGGGTTTTACCATTTTAACCCTTCTGTTCTAACACATTTAAATTCGTCGAGTCTTCTCGCTTGCTTTAAAAAATAACTTTTTTTTTTGTTCTTTCCCCGTTGATATCTATTTGTTGGTTGTTTGTGTCCAAAGCTCAAAGTGCAGTCTCTTTTTTTATCCTGTTCTTTTTCTTTTTCTTAAACATGTATTATGCGCACATTACAACAAATACAAAATTTTAAACCTAAATTGGCCTTTGAAGTCGAATAAAGGTTACTAAAAGCGAGTTGTGATGTGGGTTAAAGGTTAGGTTAATATAATTATGCCCATAATTCTGCATGCAGTCATCTGTGGAGTTAAAAAGTGAAACATGAGAAGGGTTTCAGTTTCCCCTTTAGTAACACTTGATATCATCTCATCTCTTAATCTTAGTCCAGATGTATTTATTCATTTCTCTTCAAGGGCAGATCGTCAGGCTAGCAATAGAAAGTAGACAATGCCTTCATCATGCCAGCTGAAAGCACATTTAATCTAATCTTGGGGACCACTCAGGAAATAACCCACATCCCGACTGTGTAGTTGTGAACACTTTGTCCCTTACAGTTGACTTAAAGCGCACTATTTTCTCAGCATTATTCAACATTGTGGTATACAGATAAAGAAAACTTCCTGGCTGTAAACCCTTGGGCGTAACAGAGAGGTTGTGTAAGGAGCTTTTTACATTTTGAAGGGATATTTATCGACTGAAGTCACCAACATGTCAGCTACTATTACAGATTTATATGTGCCTTATTACAAGAGAAAATATATATCTTAGCTTGATATCGAATTTTGATCAATAATTTCCAGAATGTTTGGTGACTGTGACACTTTGTGAGTACTCAGAGTAACTAGTTAAATAACTCAGCCTCTGGGCCTTGTTGGGTGTTAAAATGTAGACTGCTGTAGCTTGTTGCTTCTCCCTCTCAGCACAAACTTTAGTCTCCACCCTGTTGTGAAATGCTTCAGGCAGACAGGAAGTATGGCCTGTTTTTGCAAGATGAGAGAAGTCTTTTTGAAATGTTTCTCAGCTCTACTGATTACATATGTTTATGTTCATGCATTTAGCAGACTTACAAAGTAGGGGGGCACCGAGAGTTGAACTGGGGACCTCCTATCCCCTACCTATGGACTAGGTAGCAAAATAAAATGGCTGAAAGCGTAGTAGTGTATAAAACATGTGTTACAACAGCTATAGCGACATGGTTCGTATCAAACACCTGTGTCTGTGCGCTTGTGGCTGTGTTGTGCAATGGAAAGCTGGCTTTGTTTCAGTTTCAGTTAGACCTTTATCTTGATGATCAGAGTGAAGGCTTTTATGTGTGTGCGCTGTAAATGGAGCAGCTTTTGCATTTTATTTGGGTGGATTTTACTTGGACATTGGTTAGAGACAAAACATGAAAGTGTCCCTTTTAAATCCCTCCTGCAAATGTAGTTAAAATAGTTTGAGTTAAATGCTAATTTCAAACAACTGGATATCGGTGTTGAAAAATGTAGACAGTGTTTGATCAATTTAGGCTTAATGCATCAGTGTAACTTTTCATTTTTAAGAGCTGAAATCAGGCGCATTCAACCATTTGTGTCAGTTATGCAGTTATAACATAAAAACCTGAAATAAAAAGTCACAATCTTTGAATGCATCTGCAGACACTCCTACGAGGAATCATTAAATAAGGGAATGAAATTAATGCTTGATATTCTGTTTTTAAGTTTAAAAAATGGTGACACGTTCCCGTCTTTTTGGAGTTGTCGAAAATTTCATTTCTATATGTTGGAAGATGTTTTACTAGGCTTAAGGAGGGCATGGCAATGATAATCATGATAATCGTTACTTTTCTATTCTTCATCTTTAAAGCCGATTAGATTCCTTTGTCCTTCATTCATGATGGTAAACTAAATTTTCACTTTTCTGCTGCTAAATTGTAGCTCCAGCATTTTTTTAGACGTTCCTAGAGAATAACATTAGCAAATGAATTATGATGTCCTGTTAAATTGCCTGATAGAAAAGATTAAAAGCAGACAAAGTTGTGTAAAGGGGAAATAAAATGCGTATTTATGTTATCAATGGTACATTTAGCTGACTAACCGATTATGTGTAACTAACATTTGTGCATCCTCTGACTTTCAGTATGGGATCTGACTTTATTTTCATGGTAATAGTCCTTTAATCCTATTGGGACCTAAAGAGGAAAGATCCTGAGCGGTTGCTTCTGATTTTTGCGCTGCCTCTCTGTTTTGCTTATCGTGCTCTGCTTCTTGAGGCAGGATGCTGCTCAGCAGGTCGGACCGCGTCGCTCCAAACCGAAGCGTTTCATGTTTTTACACAAAGAAACAGCTGAGACGGGTGTCATTAATCCCCCACATTGTCGCAACCTCCGCGCACGCGATGATGATATCTATTGTGTCCGGTTTAGAATGAAAGACGCATAACATCCCCCACGCCTGCGTTCTAACTTCTTTCGCATTATTTTGTGGCAGGAATCAATCGAAGGAACACCTGTTTTACTTTTCATTCTGCCTCACGTGTCTGACAGCGGAGCTCAGATCCTGGCAGCGACCGTAGAGGCGGTTGGCGTCTCTAAGCTGCCGGGTGAACTGAACTGAACTGCAACGGCAGCAGGACAGAACCCTGGAGGTGTTTCTCCATTTAGGTCTAATTAGCTTGTTTAGCAGGAGGTTTTGTGGCAAGCAGCAGAGCTACCTCGCTACAGTATCACGAAGCAGAGATATTTGTTTGGTAGTTGAAACCTATTGTAACAAACCATGAAAATAAGTGAAAAAAACAAATGCTTATTACAGTCTTACTAAAACAGGAAGGATTCACTGTCCAAACTAGCAATAGAAATATGTATTTAGTCAAACGCTCAGCTGAGAATGAATGCATTAACCCTATCAGTACAGAAAGGCCAGAGTCGAGCTGCTGTAACAGATTTGAACTTGCGTTTATTAATTTACGTATTGATAAAATCCCTAGGAGATTGTGGGAATGTGGGCTGTAGAGATAATGTTATCGCATTTATGAGATGTAAGTCACGGCTTTGAATTTGAATATACAGAAATGAGGCGCTGAGGAAATGCAGTGCAGTTGGATTTTAAAACAATGAGAGACTGTTTGTGTGCCGCCCACCAATGTAAGTACATCCCGATTCCCCACCACGTGGAAAACACCTCAGCGGGATGCATCAGGTCATTCCAAAGTAGGTTACTGAAAGTAACGAGTCCTCTTGAGTCCATCCTCATGTTTTCTGGTTACCTTCTTGGAAATACTCCATTCACAATCCTCTAAACCAAACTAAACAAGCACATTTCCGTTAAGCTTTTAGAAATATACTCCATCAGGCATTTCAAAATGGGAATCATTTGCAGCACCCATCTGTTGTCCTCATTTGTGGTGTTTAGGGGAAATCTGTGAATTGGAGCATCAGAGTGACCCACTCTCTTCTTGAACAGGAACGAATGTAAAAAAGAAAAAGCTGAATGCGATCCAGATGTTGGGCTTGGGCTGCATTCAGCTGTAGTCTCTCAGCGTTCATGCACAGAGTAGGTCATGTTTTTGTTGGTTTTTAATTAAAGGAAATAAAAACAGCATCTGCCTTGTGCATGCATCACCTACCATCTATCAGTTAAATCCAGTTCCAGTCAGTCAGGATTAGGCTTTAGTTTGCAACAGAAAGTCAAACCTTTTTTTATGTTTTTTTTTTTTAGTTTATTTTTTTTTTTCCTTTTTTTTTTTTTTTTTTTTTTACAACTTAAACATCTGATGAGATGTAAAAAAAAAACAACAACTCAAGTCAAGAGGTTGCTTTACTGTAAAGAACTCACACACTCAAAATAACCTCCAGCTGG